GAACAGAACTAAGCCATTTCTGTTGGAAATGTCATTTTGGTTTCAAATGAAAATCTACCTAGAGGGCAGTGGAAACTAGGTAGGATTACAGCCTTAATTAAAAGCTCAGATGACATGATTAGAGGAGCGACTATTAAAACATCTACCAAAACCGGAAAACCAGCCACAATTAATCAACCCATACAATTATTGTATCCCACAAGAAATCCACCACAAGAAGTTAATCCACCACATGAAATTCATCCACCAATAATTGACCCAAAACCAAGAAGAAGAGCCACACTAATAGCTGACAAGAAGAGAAAATCTTGGTTACCAGATTTGATATAGACTTTGTGTTAAATCATAAGTGAACATTATCATTTGGACATTGTAGACTACGGACATTGTGATGACTGTGATCAGAATTTATCTCAGGTCATCAGGGGGGAGTGTCATGAGAGGCATGGTGAATTATCTCCCCTTATCATTTATCTCCCTTGAATAGTCAAGATTGTCACAGTGAAAATTATTATGTAAAAAAAAGTTTATCAAAGAGTATGGAAAGTCTTAATATGGTGTACTTTTGTATTTGATAAATAATTAATGATTGAATTGAATGCCACTATCCCTTTCGCGGAAAAAAAATTCATGAGGGTGAAAAAGTGATACTTTGATGGAAAATCGATGAGTTGTACGGAAAACCACGATCACGTTCCGGAAATATCCGAATGTACGCTAATGTGGCGGGCGTTATGTATTATAATGAAAACGATTCGTCAAGCACCCACAGTTCATCTCATTCTGAAGACGAAGAAGATGAATACGCAATGTTTGGGGTGTGGTGGACTACCAGTTTGAGCCAGTTAGGCGTCCTCAGGAAGGGGTGACTGACAGTGAAAGGCCAAACCAGGACGATGACAATGCCGAAATTCATGAAAATGGAGATCGATTGGGAAATAAATTTATAATGACTGGTTCGTAGCGTTCATTTTGTATTAAAAATCGCCCGCTTCAAAATATTTATATCTCCTCTCGATGAAAAACTTTACAGAATTAAAATATCTTGATTAGTCTTTGAGATATTCCATAATGAATGGGGTAAATAGTGGAGAAATATGGTCGTTATTTGTATGAATTCTTCACTCATTTTATAAGTGATATACGGAACAAGTCATTATAAGATTAAAACTATTTTATAATACATGTAACTTAATTATAATTTATTTTAAAAACAAAAGGATATTTTCATAACATCTTGAGTTCCTACATTCCCAAGTCTGAATTGGTAAAACACACACATCGGATAGGCCTACCAAATAATGTTAAGTGAAAGTAGACCTTCTGATCAAATAATTGAAATAATATGAAATTATCCGCTCAAAATATACTTTAAATTAAGAAATGATAGTTTTTAATCATTTATGAGTTTAGTGTTTGATATAAACTGAAATTTCATGAAATCAACTTCATTTTTCGCTTTTGTTACGCTTCAAAGGTGTTCCAAAATGGCCGCCATTACCACCATTTTATGCTGGAAAATTGATATTTCATCTTTTTGGCTAAGTTTAAATGCCGATTTTTTTTAGTATTAATTAAAAATAGGAACCTATAATATATTTCTAATGGGGTCTCATATGCGAATCGAATTTTAAAACACTTTTCTGGCTATGTCATCTTTCCAATTTAGAATATTTTCAATAAAAATAAAGAGTTTTGAAGTGAAATAAATAACAGACTGAGAGTTTTCAGTCGGCGCCTTGAAGTCGGCCCTTTTCAATTGTACGAATTTGACCCATACCAGCGTCTTTTGGAAAGCCGTGTTAACTGTTTTCTTTACAGGTATAGCTGCAAAATTGCACGATACCGAGCTTTGGCATTTTGATGTTAATATTGTAAACATTAACATAGCCTATCAAGGTTATGAGGTTAACGATGGTTCCAAAAATGACGTCATGTGGTCATGTGGTTAATACGACGTAATGGTGGACTGTCTTTGTAAAGGG